TCTTACAAACATCTCTCGTAAAAAGTGCATTCTCAAAACAACGTATGAGTGTACAATCTCCGATGTCAGGATGTCCTTATGAACTGAACAACCAACGCTTGGAACATCGCAGTCTTTGATGACATCCAGCGCATCCCAAAACATGTCGGCGCACAGATGGTTTTCTCCTAGCACGAGAGACAGTTTTTCTTCGACGCGTTTCAACATTGTGTAAAGTTCTGTAGAGGGATGCTTGAGGCTTCCGTTCCTGAATTCTCTTGCCAATGTCAGTAGTGAAGCGGGGAATTTAGTGTTTGTTGACTGGATGCTGCTTATGCAAGCAGCGCAGTTGACGTGCTTCAGAAAAGAATGTACAATGTAGCCGCAGAGGTAATATACGACGCACTCCTGTACTGCTGGCAAAGCATATCCGTGGTCCGGAAGCGGTGTCGGTCCCGAGTGGGATGCTGAACTTATTCCAGGCAAGCAAACCTCGGAAATCTTTGCGCTGATTGTCTCACGCAACTTTTCATACGTTGCCAGCTGCTGCTTCTTCCCTTGCTTCATCGTCTCTTGCACTGTGGCTAGTATTAAGGTTGGCTCCTCTTGGACATTGCCTGCAATCGAAGCCTTGACAGGTGTGTACAGGCTCAGCAACCTGTAGATATGGGAAAAGCTCAGGATCGTCGGATGGTCTTCGTCACCTCCAAAGCTCCTGGTGATTCCGAAGAACCTCTGTAATGGTAGTAATAAAGCCGTACGTCAGTTCACCGTATGTATCTCTTTCAGAAGTCAAAGTACGCATGGCGTATGGAATGCATAAAGAGGATTTATAGAGTGCAAGTCTCAGGCGGGAATTGCACATCTCACATAGAGATATGACGACTGTTTAAAACCACGCTATGCTTCCTCATAACCGTTTTGTTTATTTTCCATGCAATGAAGTAAGTGCGCAGTTTTATGGAATTATGCTAATCTCACCTCCAAGGGGTCTTGATTAAGCTTGCCTGTGAGCACGTAGCGTGCACCTTTAGCAAGGAGGTCATTTGTTAGTTCCAAGATAGATGACAAAGTCACCCTTAGAGACTCCATTGTTACTTGAGATGCGAACATGGCTGTTCCTTTCTCAACGTGGTTTCTCTCTGTCAAGTCCAAGATAATCATGAAATCTTGGATGATCTAGAAAGGGAAAAGTTTATGTTAGACATTACTTTTTTGTGCAAGCTAGCTCTTACATGCAAACGTCGACGCCTATAAAAAAGGGACCTTTGAAGAAAGGCATAAAGTTATTTTTAACCTGATTTTTTAATGAAACATGTGTGCCACTGAATGAAAATGGAAGCTGGTAATACTTGAAATCACGCTTGCGGCGTGTCGCCTTCTCATCGACGTTTATTTCAGTTATCTGGAAGGAGAAGTTCTAAGTTCCAAGACATTTATTCGTCGTCTTTCTTTCAATAATACCTTCCTTCAATTACAAAATAAATGTCTACTTAAACTAGGCTTTTGTTGGTGTAAATGTTTGTCGGCGTTTTGTATTTTATTTATATGCCCAGTGCCTCAGTTCTTGATTAACATTACCTATTGCGAATGTTCTTCAAAAGTAGCACATTTTATCGCCCTTGCCTTAATTTCCTTGGATGTGCTCCTTATCCCAAAACGAGGAAGCTTGATGTTCAGGGCATCAAAAAGGTCATTTATGATGCGGGTAAACGCGGCTGTCCCCTCGCAGTCTTCCAGGCCATCTTGCTTGAGTCTCCGGTACACATCAAGGCCGATAGCCGTACTTCGGCTGAGCAGCTAGGGGACAGAAACGTATAGGGGCATTTTATTAATCGCAAAAAGACTTAAGGAGAACACTTCACAGTACCAGTTAAGTTTGTGTTTCACATGTGAAGAATTTGCCTAAATAATCAGGTAAGCTATAAGTTCTTTCAAAAGCAGCTTTTCGTAATCTTACCTGTACTGCGAGCTTCACACTCATTTTTCTCATGTTGTCAGGGCAGACGTGTTCAGCGGTAAGCTTCGGAACAATGCGGAGTTGCTCTTTGCCGTCTACTTCTTGCAAAACTCGGTAGTGGTCATAGTTTATGCGATGTTCACCAATCTATGAGCAAGAAGAAGAGAGGGAAAAAAAAAGTCCGTCAGTCGTATGTAGTGCTGCGAAGAAAATGTATTTTGATTGGCACCGCGACACTATTTATTGCGATATTGTACTGTACGTGGTACTTACCATGCCATATTTGTGTCGAAGAAGATGGTTTCTAATGCATTTGACAATGTGGGGTACATCGCAAAGGAAGTAGAGGCTTTGATTTGGCTCGCATGGGTGCTGAACTTTGTGGTTTGCTGTGTGAAGCTTTCCTGATATGCCAAGTTGGACCACATTGCTTTGTTCGTGCTGGCGCCATCACTGATTACTGCGACGACTATGGCGTTGTGTTTGCGTAGCTGCACGATTGCATCAAGAACTATTTTGGCGAGCACGTGTCCGGGGGCTGCGTTTTTTGTTGCAAAACTTGCAATCGGTTGAACCCATGAGTGGAATAGAGGCACAAACATTGCAACCAATGCATGATCAGCAGTAGCTGCTGAAACTTCACCGTCTCCGTAATTTACGAACCCATCAATCTTGTATGTTTGACGGTTGAAAGCTACGGCTTGGCGTACCTTCATTTCATCTATTACTAGTGTGCCGTAACACTGGACTCCTTTCATAGTCTTCATGAAAGCCCCTATGCTGGAAAGGGAGAGCTTATTAAAGCCAAACTCACAAGGCATTCCTCTTATTATTTGTCGGAGCCTAGTCGAAGTTGGAAGAGGGAGGATTTTCATTCTTGACATCAAGCGGTACACACGTGGGCTTGAAATCTTCAAGAGAAGGCAACTCAGCAGCCACCCACAGTCATACCGCACACCTCTTGAAGATTTCGCTTTCATCGACTGCAGTGCTGTCCGAAATGCAAGTTGCTGCAGTGGTGGAAGTTCAGCTAAAACCTCGCTCAACAGTGCATTGCTTGGATCTGATGACAACTTTTTTTTCAAGCTTAGCAGGTCCCTCTTGTATTTCTCCCGCAGCACTGTTGCTCTTATAGTCTTCTTTCTTAAATTTCTCAACAGCGCAGATGGCAAAGGCACGTACTTGCTCTTTCTTGAACGTCGTTTCTGCCTGCACTGCAAGTTCTTTTTTGCTTTCCTGCACTGAACGCATAAGGCTTTCGCCGACAGCACTGCACATCGCTTGCTTCTCCATGTTCTCCCAGACCTTTCAGCCGTCTTAGAAGTTGATATTAAAGGACATAAACGAGAATCAAAACCATTGCAGATACCCAGGCTCTCAATGAGATGAAGAAAGGGCGCTGCGTCTTTCAAGGTGGTAAAATTGAGCTTGTCACTGTTAATAAAGGTGTAAGACGATTCCGGCACAAGTTTCCCTTTAGCGCTGACAACAACGGTCGAGTTTTTGTTTATAACGACAGCTCTTTCAATAAAAACTACGCCACCAATTTCTTGAAGTTTGTAAAAAACAACACGCTCATCCGTGTGTTGCACACACCATGCTCCATACACGGGCAAGTCTTCTATGCCACCAAACCAATGTTCACCTGTGGAGCTTTCTTTCATGATGACTTCCATGCTTTCAGCATTTGAGGCAGCCCTGTTTTCGTGTTCAAGCATTTCAGTGCACGTCTCACTTTCACTCTGAAGAACTGGGGTAATGTCATCTTCGGCCACTAGCACGCTTGCTGCATTTGTGCCAACATTTTCTACACAAAGCTTCAAATCAAGCTCAGCGCAATTAGCAAAATGCCGCGGTACCGCACCTTTCTTCAGTTCCCAGCGTCCTCGCGGAATCGAGACTGTTTCGCCATTCACAACATGCTGGAAGGAGGTGCAAATGTCCGCTTCATCAAAGTGACGATCACATATGTATGATCTTTGAGTAACTTCGAAGTTTGCACGGCCTGCCGCATTGTTCCACTCCCTCAGCACATTGGGGTCTTTCGGTGGCTTGAAAAAGTGTCGCTGCACGAAGGGCACTTCATTTGACGTTGCCGATGAATATCCACTTCGACAGCCTGGCACAGCACACCTCGGCATGCCGACCGTTCTCCCGAAGGGAGCAAAATTCAACCGCGAACAATTGCTTGCTCAGAGTCACCGTCCGCTTTCTCTCCAGAAAGCAGAACAGCGTAAACATTATCGTCTGCTCTGTCATGGTTGAAATTTAATGCATAAGGTCTGTTACGAAACAACGAGCCAGCCTTTTTTTTATATTTAGGTTACTTAACGTTACTTAATTTAGGTTACTTAACCATTATTACCAGCAGGGAAAAAATCGTCTGCAAGCGCAGGCCCTGCTAGCCGCGTCGCTGCTCCGTCTGCTCCGCGCGATGCCGGCTGCGCGGCGGAGAGGTCACGTGACGTGGTCGCAAAGCGATGCCAGCGACACCTGGAATGGGCGACGATTTGCGGCCGCCTCCTCGCGCGAGTTTTCCAACTGTCCTCATCCAGTAACGTTGGCTTCTAGTAAGTAGTTTACTGCATTGTACTATGTGAAAACGAGAGAAATTAAGGCAGGGAGCTGCTCCAACGAGTGCGGGACAGCCATGACGCTGAAGCAGACGATGACGGTGTCGTCTGCTACGCGAACGGCCAGCCGCCATATCAAAACGCCCTGGTGCCTTGCAACTTATTTCGTTTTATACGCAGTTTTAAATATATACAAACAATATGTTTAATTATTATTTGTTCAAAAAGCTATCTAAGTGCAGAAAATAATAAAAACTTTCTAAATTGTCAGTAAAGTAATAATTTTCTAATCTTTGTGCAACTGCCACCGGAATTCAGACAACGCTATCATCGCGTCCAATATTCATCCTCTCTTTATGACCTAGTTAACGCAAGAAATTCAACTCATATGTTTAGTACTCATATATGTGATTTAGGATAAATCTATAGTATTGCAGTTCAGTATTTCAAATGAACACGCGCTGTGCTTTTGCATTAACCGCTAGTATGCGTCGCATCTGTGGGGTGGCGCGTCGGGTGCCAGTCGATGTAAACACTATGGCCGATGTAAGTCATATGATGTTCAGCCCCCAGTGCATGTTTTCAATAAGGCCGATAATTTGAGGGCCAGTGGTGCGTGACATTGAGTGTGCATACAGTGGCATGCAGCCGGGTTGTGTGGGCCCAACGTACTAACTTCAAAAGCTCCTTTTTGTTTTTATCATTCATTAATTCCTGCGTCGTCTTGTCGCTGCCGCGATACATCCGCCCACCAAATGTCACGAGTGTATTTTTACCCGGAACCTTACGACTTTTCTGTCACGTTACAGGAATTGAAGAAGCACCTTATCCACCTCATATCCAGGTAGGCAAACTTACCTGTCGTTTTTATTTACGTGTTCATGCTTCTGTATTGTAAACGACGGTGTAAACATCTGTGAGTTGTGTTCTTCGCGCTGAAAAATGGTGGGACGGATTATGTAGAGTACGTGCTACGTGCTGTAAGAACCCCTATTCTTGCTCTATTTCTTTAGAAATATCTAGGTTTCGCTATATGGTGTCGAATTGCGACACAGGAGTTCAATTATTTCTGTGAGCCAGCCTTTCCGCAACAAATTTCGGCAATGATGCACGCAATCTTTCATGTATTGTCACTTTCATCGCACAGTTTTTGCAGAATGTAACGTTTGTAATACGAAAACAATGTTTGTCGCCATCGTGGTGAAGATATGTCGCGTGGGCGATACTTGAGCCTTTTGTCCGTATTTTTCAGTGCATGAATAAGTAGGTCTTTTCATTATTCTCATATTTAGGGTCCAAGGGCTCCAGGCTATTGTATTCACAGACCGAGACGGTGTGCCTCTAATCAAAGGTAATGCCTGAAGTCTGCAACACCCCCAGGTATCTAAAGGATTGGTAAACAGAACTCTTAAATTTTTGTTGCAGGGACTCTTTTTTTTTTTTTTTTTTCATGGGAAGATGCAGCTTTTCGGTTGTAAGTGCAACCACACAAACAATGGGTGTTGAGTGTATTTCACTGTGTTGTTATAGTAACAATCACAATCTGATGTTAGCCCCACTCATGTTTCTGTAGAGCATGCTAACAGGCGCCCTTGCTCTGTGGGGCTGCATCTTGCAGCTGTTGTTCTTCAACGTGGTGTGCCTGGCAGCATGCACAGCCTAATAGACATTCAGAGCAGTACACATCGCTTTAAATCATAAATTAGGGTGGTGAGGGCCCTTATTTTGCTGGCTCTGCGCATTATCCGAGGTTATCACTTTGTCATGTGACTGCAGGTTTTGGAACAGCTGCAAAGTGCGCATTGTTTGTTCTGAAAGAGAAGGGCATGGGTTATCATTCCAGACACTTCCTTCTCTAGCATCAAGATGCAGCAAGCTTCTTGAGGCCAATTCCCCGCCGTGGTGGTCTAGTGGCTAAGGTACTCAGCTGCTGAACTGCAGGTCGCGAGATTCAACCCCGGCTGTGGCGGCTGCATTTTCGTTGGAGGCGAAAATGCTATAGGCCCGTGTGCTAGATTTGGTTGCACGTTAAAGAACCCCAGGGGTCGAAATTTCCGGAGCCCACCACTATGGCATTTCTCATTCTCATATGGTGGTTTTGGCACGTTAAACCCCACATATCAATCGTCCTTGAGGCCAAGTACAAATTCATTTAAACAAGAGCACTGAGCATTACCACTTGTGCATAGCAGGTGTACATGTTTATTGGGCTGTGCATGTTCTTGGGCAGACTACGTTGGGCTGTGCACCTGCCGCAAGGTGTCACCCCCGAAGCAAATCCATTCGCCTGATCGTGCGCTCACACAGACATGGACAGGGCTGAACACTTTTGTTGGATTGTGGTGGAGGGGGGGGGGGGGGGGGTTCATGCTAACATATTCTTGTTCCGAAGATAAAATGTAAAAAACTTTGTTCTGAATGCACTCCTATGCACGCTTGCTGAAGAGAGTACAAGTACAGATAAGTCATTGCAGAGTGCTTTGCTAAAATAAATGAGTCATGATCTTTGTATTTGCATGCACAACAATTGTAAGAAAGTCCTTGGAATGCCCATAGGGTCTTACGTGTATAAATATTACAATTGGGGTTAATTATGTGTACATATAATATAACCAGTGGGGCCAATAGTTTTGAATGACGTCATGCATGCATCTTCTCTATGTACTCTTGTTGCAGCATGACAGCTGTAAGGCCATCAATGCTGCATATTCACCGCTGCATAATGTTGGTGTCTGTACCAAAATATCAACAGAAACCTTATGCAGTGTGCCTATAATGTTCACAAAATGGCACCTTTAGTGTCATCTGTGAAAGCCATCTATACAGCAATGGCTCTGAAGTGTACCTTCTCCCTCTTTCCATGTCACATGTAGGTAAACATTCCATTCATGTAATGTCATTAAACTATGTTGTGGACGACAAGTAATAACCATGCCGCACGAACACAGAAAATTAATGCGCATGAGCTTCCTAATGCCTTAAGATGTAGTGTTATTTGCGCGGTACTACATGTGTAAATGAAATGGTATTTGCTTTGATGTCATTTGTCATCTAATGCCTTTACTAGAACTCATTCGACTGAAAAATGTGCTCTGTCAATGCCAAAGCTTACTCAGTGCACTGCACAGAAGACAGTTAAAATAGCATCCATTGAGACAAAAATATTTTTACAAGACTTGTGACGGAAAGCAGGTTATTTTCTTGTTAGATCATATGACAATTTAATTGAGAATTGCAAAGATTTTCAACTTGACAGGCGCCATATCAGATTCATCATGCAATGGCCGAACTTGCTTCGGTCTGTTGAAATGCTGTAAGAGAGAATCAGCTCAAGCTAATCACAATATAATAGCTTACTGTTATGTTTTACTATTCCTGAAATCAGATTAACATTGTTAAAGTACATTTTTATATTCTACTATTTCCCTAAAAGTGTGCATTCCTGAAATGACCATTACCTGCATCATGAGTTCAGGTGCCATTTCAGTTTGACATGTGGCAGCTCGATTGCAAAAAACGTCATTTAGGAACTTAATGCCTTAATATAATTTATTGGGCCCGTGTGACATGGGTATAACTTTGCAGCTAGCAAGTGCAACCAGCTGGCTTTGTTGTGCAAAATGCCCATGCTGCACTTCAAAATGCTCATGTTTATAATGTTTAGTTGGTTGCAGCATGATGGTAGATATACAGAGGGGTCTTAGCCAGGGCTTCCGATACATAATTATAGAAATGAGGCTGATTGCAAGTTCTTTAGCTTGTTTCGGAGTTTAGTTCTTCTATATCAAAGTAGGGTGATACAGTTGTAATGTCTGTCTGCTCTGATATATGTAGATTACACTTGTTAGGGGATATTTGAAGAAATATAAATCTTGCAGGTTTTATAATTGTAAAGGAAAGTGAACTCGCTCTATAAATTGTTTTCTTTTTAACATTTGGCTTCATGATGTTCAATGGCTGATCACCTGACCATTGTGTCAGCTGACCATCATGATAAAATTGGAAAAAAAAAAACAGAAATGTAGTTTACTAGGTAAAAGCAGTGGAGAGAAAGCCATTTATCACCTGTACTACCATTCCAAGTTACATTGAAGCGAAAGGTGCACGTAGATTTCAGATTGAGAGAATGCATATATATATCTGCTGCAAAATTTCTTGGTCATGTTCTGCTACAATGTGATGAATGTAAGCAATAGGCTTCACGGAGATGTCAGGTTTCACTGTCAGCGGCGTTACTACCTTGAAGCGATATCTTCTGTGAGATTTTATGTTTGACTTATTCGATACTCACAGCTGGCTGATTCCAGTGATAATGTGCCAGGACTGATGCTCATGACTGCTGCCTAGGCATAAAGAGGCTTTAACTAGCACTAAGAAAATGCATCTCTAAGAAAATGCACTAAGAAAAACCAAACTTGGCAACAAAAGCTATTGCCTTGTTTGAAAAGTCATTGGTCATATAATTTAATCGTTATTTACTCTACTCAAACGCTCTTTCATGAGAATCGCTAGATCGCTGCCATTGTTAGAGAAAACATAACTATTTGGGCGTACTAGTTGAATGTACTGAATCAAAATTAGTACACACCTCAATAATTTTAAATGAAACTTCTAAAACTTTTTTTCTAGCAGAGTTTCTAGCTAGAAAAAAAAGCTACGGTTACCATTTCCTTAATTAAAGTTTATGTATAAGAAGCTCCACAGATGTCAACGAAACCATAAGTTGTAGGCATTGTCAAACCAGCCATTTCCCAGAAGGGCTGCGAGGGCACTGCTGAATTTAAGAGTGTAAATATAAAGGTAAATGTTCCCATGAGTTTTCGGTGACTTTGTGGGCAGATCATAGACTAGTCATTTAAAAAGTAATGGCACAGATATGTATTGTAGCTTATCTTTAAATGTATCGAATTTTAGTGGCATGAAACCATGGGCAGATATGTATGTGAGCATATTAAGTAATATCTTTATATTGACAAATAGGTACAGGAGAAAATAAGCTGATAAGTTGATAAGGTGATGAGTGAAACTTGATCATAATAGATGGCAGTTGTAGCCCACAGTGGAGATTTGGGATATCAGACCCAAACATTGACTACTATGTAACAGATTGCACAATAAGATTAAAAACTACAGTATTGTTAATGCAAAATTAATGGTAAAACTGCAATGCATTACTTTATATCTATATATACCCTGGCATTGTAGCACTAGCATTGACTGCACTAAACATGTGTTGTGCATAATTTACAATGGATGATTGGATGTGCAGCTGCAACAGACGGAGCACCTGAGCATGCCTTGAGGCCCAGCTTTCTGGCAACAGTGGGCATGGCCATGTCCCAAGGCAACAAGCTTGGCCTAGGCAGATGCAACAAGATGATTTCCTCTTATGGCAACTATCAGGTATGTTACATCCCCAGTCACTTTACATTTTACTTGCACCGCACTCAAGGCTGGCTTCACCCTACAGTTGAAGGGGAAGCTGAAAAGTTTTACACATTTGAACCTTGCATCAGTGAAACTGCATGAGAACTAAAAAAATTTGCTTTTGTGAAGATTTTGTGGTTGCTCAACGAGAGGCTATTCAAAATGAAGCTTTGCTGTCTGTGTTCTGGTGGCTATTTTAGTGAACTTTGCTTTAACTAAAGGCAAGTACATAAGTTGCTGTGGTGTATTGAAATATTATTTCAGAAATTTTTTAGTGCTTGTTTTGGGCCAAGCAAATGCTTAGTTTAAACATATCATTAGCACAATTCAAACTGCATGCCATTTGGAACAACTTTGTGACATCCAATTCATCACTTACCTTTTACTGCCTCATAGCCAGTGCTGTGGGGGCAGGGCAGCACAGCCCGGCAAAAACAGAACTTGCATCATTCTCAGGAGTAACGCAACTAAAACGAACATGTTTCCAGGGGTGGAAGTGCTGTGCCAATTGCGCCATTCTGCGCAAACCTGACCTGCTGCGCTAGGCTGCGCATAAATGTCAGTTGTCAGTTTCCGTGATAATTGCTGATTGGAAGTGTGAACTGCAATATTAAGCCAATTATTGTTGTCGACCGAGCAACACTGGCTACACAAAGGACATGACTAAAGTGTACTAGAAAGGTTGAGGGACGCGGTCCCCTAACGGCAGCTATGCTTTCAAACGACGCTCCGCACACGGACAATCGATGCGAGGGCGCTGCAGTCGAGGTGGTTTGAGAAGTGCCAAGGCGCGCGTGGTCAGATGCATGGTAATGGTGGTAGCAACTGAGCGGGAGGCTTCGCTGCTCATTGTTTTTTGTGTTCGCCCTGCCCATGCCATTATGGCGAAGAACAGTCAGCGGCACTGCTATGCTCCAGGCTGCTGCACCGGTTATTCAGGTGTCAAAGTGACGTGGAAAGTGTCCTTGTTCAACGTCTCGAAAAACGAAGACCATGAGAAGCTCTGGGAGATGAACTTGCATCGCAGCGACAAGCCAATAATTGGATGACCAATGTGCTATTTGTGAGCTGCCTTTCGAAGACAGATATATTCTAGGGGACAACATCGATGTTGAGAACGGGGAAGAAGTCCAAATACCACGTGGGAGTCCAGACGCTCACGTGTGATGCAGTCCCAACAATACTTTCAAATGCGCCAAAGTACTTGACCAAAAAAGCGCCTGCCGAACACTCACGTCGCAAACGGGTAGCGCCTGCACTGTTGCAGAGTGAAAGGCGTAAGGAAAAGACATGACAGCCCATGCAGAACAATAACAGCGTTACAAGCGTTTTATTGTAACAGCGTTCTAAAATTTACAGTTTAAAAATCATAGATATGTAACGTAGGTTGTATACGCACCATTCAATAATGTTGTCCACGTTCACTAGCCAGCATTACCATCCTCGCAAGCACAATCGCTACATATCAGCTTACTGCTTCTGATGTTGGCAATACCTACGTGGCTGCTAGCATTGTTACGCAAATATAAGCAGCTGGTTACATATGTCATGCGACTGTTCAACATATGCATGTGCGTACAGCACTTGTACATTTTTTTAACGGAATTTCGTAACATTTCGCTTAATGAAAAAGCTACACCGCAGTCACCTTCAATCGGCATGCTTCACATAATATTGATTTTCATGGTATGTGGGATCTGCCGAAATTTTTTTTATTGCTTGATTCAGCTCCACACCTACAAATAGGTGTTGTGTCTACAGTCCTTTCTGCTTTCTGCATGATATACGTGTGTGTCCTACCTGTGCTTCAGTGTGTCTTTTAGTGTTCAATTCTAGCGCGTCGTGAGTGTCAACTCTTCCTTTATTCGTAAAGTGCTGGCTTTCTCAAACAGTGCCATTCACTGACGAAATTCTGCAGAAACGCAGCCGATGAGCGCGGCGCCACAGCGAAACTTGTTCTGCTCCTGCAAGTCATTTCGCTCCCAGCGCCCTCTATTCTTTCCGTGTGCCACACCTCAGAAGTTGAGTGGCGGCCATGCCAATCAACCTTTCTAGTACTCTCTAGGGTGATCACATCCATATCCGGTGTAGTTCGATCACTTTGTAATTTGGTTCATTCGTGGAGCTTGCTAGTGCTCATCTCGTCGATGTTACTGCCGTGGTTTCCCCGCAAAAGTGGTGGCAGCAACATGAGAAACTATGAATTATCTATCAAGCATAATAAGTGAGACCTCTATAATTTATACTAGCTGAGAATGCGGCATGATCATGCACAAATTGGCAGTGCACGTGCGAGTACAAATTTAAATCTCTATGCGTGCCATTGCCAGCAATAAACGAATACATTACCACAGCAGATGCTGCCCAAAGTACTCACGGGAAAGTCTTTTTTTTTTCTTTTTTTTTTAAAGAAAGGATGAGCGTCGCGCACAAGCACCTGCTCGGCTCGTGGGAGCGCTTATGACGACGAAAACTGGCTGCGGTACACGAGGAGTGGTACACTTTGCTTACCGAACATTTTCCCATAGCTTCCGCAGCGTTGCACCTAATGTGTGAAATGCAGTATAGAGGTCATGAAAACAAGGGATGAGCATTGCCAATCCCTTGTTATCCAAGCTATTTCTCTGTCAGCTGTGTTGTTTAATGCTTGGAACACACACTTTTGTAGGGGGGAAGTCTGGCAAGCTCATTAGTACTGAATGTATAGTAAAAATCATAGGAAGCTCTATTACCAAAAATAATTTTGATTTTTAATGATGTGTGACCCTAGGAAGCTGCTCTAAAACTAACTTGCGTTTTTTCAAAACACACCTTTTGGTGCTCTGAACTTGCTTCAAAAGTTCCCTTTTACTGTGCCAAAGCTGCTTCAAAACAGCATTATTCCTGCTCTCTGAGCTGCTCCAAAACACTGAAGTCTGCTTCCATCCTTGTTTCATTTCATTCAGTCTTGTAATTAACTTTACTCTGTATGTTCTTGGTCATTAAGAACCTATTTCAGAATGTACCACTGGTGGTGTAAATCATGTCCTACACTTTCCTTAATTTCTCTATTACTGAGGCTTTTCTGTGTGTAATAGTGACGTTCTAGAGGTTCTCAAGCATTGACCTTTCAATGTTGTTTGACTTTAGTGTCCCTTTAGGGCAGTAGAGCTCCTGGCAACAAGCAGTGTGCTTTTGTGTTGTGGATAACTTCCAGGGATAGTCAATGTCTCAAGTGTAATTTGGGAACCAGAGCAGCAGCACTTTAAATGCTGTAACTTATCGACAACAACACTTCCGGTGCTGAGTTACAGTTAAACCAGCTTATAACGAACTTCTATATAACAAATTCTTTGATATAACAAAGTTTTTCTATTCCCCGCTGTCGCTAAATAAAAGCGCGTGTATTTGCGACCTCTATGTACCAAAGCAACAGTGGGAGACAACCTTGATATAACGAATTTGCCCCATGGAAAGCCTTGGAGTTTTGCTCCGCATTTTGTCATTTTGGTACGAGCATGCATCTTCCGCGGCTGCCCCGCCGCCGACCACGCACTATCATTTGGTTGTGCGTGGTTGTGTCGATGACACGTCGGCAGAGCTACACAGGGGACTTAAGGGCCAAGTGATACTTTTTACCGAGGACTCGAGTGATTCTGCCGTGCAGGGGGAGTTTATTGATTAGGGTTTGGCGAAAGCAACGGGATCGTTTGTTTGCATGCAAATGTTGGCGCCGTGCCTTTTCCGGCCTAGCAGCAGTCGTGGCAGCAAGGGCGACGTCGTTTGGGAAGTCACGGATGCTTGCGAAGAAGCCGATGACATCATCTTGCTCATCTGACAAGATGACAGCCCCGGCAGCGATGAGGGCACTGAGCTATGTAAATAATGGCGTGCTATGTTTCAATTTCACTGTTTCTAAACTAAAAAAAAATTGTCGACCTACATTCGAATATATATTTTTTTCTTGTCGAAGATGGCCCAACTACACGACGCTATACTTCCAAGAATGTTCAAGGCGGAGTTCTTAGCCCGATTCTATACAATCTTGCACTAATTGGCCTTGCTGAATACTTGCCAAGTATCATTAAAATCTCAATATACGCAGACATATGTGTCTGGACTTCTGCAGTCACACGTCCTCAGATACGTTCCCGGCTTCAAAGAACAGCAACTATGATTGCCAACTACTTGTTATAACAAGGTCTCAGCATATCACCACAAAAATGCACGCTGGTGGCCTTCACTCGCAAAGCAATGAGCCCTCATGTCATCTCAATCTGCGGGCGACCCATTTCTTATGCCAGAACCCACCGGTTTCTGCACATCATTATTGATAGGGACCTCTGTTAGAGTCGGCATGTGGCCTATATGAAGAAGCGCCTGACCGCTGTTTCCCAATTGTTTAAGTTCCTGGCAGGAAAGACGTGGGGGATGTCAGTAGACGCAATGATGGTACTCTACAGAGCCCTGTTTCTCGGTTTCGCGAGATATAGCTTGCCCGTGCTTAACAATACCTGCAAGACCAATGTTCATGTTCTACAGGCATTATAAGCCCAAGCACTGAGAGTGTACCTTGGTCTGCCCTGATTTACGTCAACAGAGCCAACAATTGCAATTGCTGGCGACTATCCGATACAAACTCACATTGCTGTAGAAGTCCGGAGAATGCACATCAGACACTTCGCGCATGCTCCCTGTCATCACCTTGCACTGTTTCCTTCAGAGAGGCGCAAAGCATCGTTCGCTAAAATGATTGTGAAATACGAGAAACTTCCCTCGGGCTTCACTCCTGCATCAAAACCATCGATACCCCCTTGGTGTCTTATTTGACCCACAGTGCATTTTAGTGTACCAGGGATCCGGAGGAAATCCGAGCTTTCATCGCCCGTGCTGAAACAACTCTCTTCTTCTTTTACACGAGAAATATTCAGACAATGTACGTATATCGATGGCTCCACGAACCGACAGTGTTCGTCAGGTGCAGTAGTTGTCCCAGC